ATAAACTTTGAAACAAAAAACATGCATTTTCTACCTTATTTTCATTTCATTCTGTATGTAACATTTTTGAAGCAGCGGCCACTGGTGGGAAGAACTAAAATGGAATTTCCAAAGGTTTCCAGTAAAGCTGTTTTCTTTAAAGACTGTTTTTACACAGATACTTATGTATGTATTTTTATACTTGCAACTGAGCAAAAAATGCTTTTACCACAAAGCTTTTTTATTTATTTATTTATTTACTTGGATTTGTACCCCCGCCCTCCCCGTCGAGGCAGGTTCAGGGCAGCTAACATCATAAAAAACATAACAATAAATATCATAAACATCTAAAGGCAATTCATCAAACAATTCAGTAACAGATTGATTAAAACTAACTTACAATATATTAAGGTGCTAGCAGTTAATATGTAATATCAAAGATGGCCTCATACACTCTATAAGTTCAGTTGATATTCAGCTCGTTGGTCTTTCTCGATCTTAGTCGGCGAGCACAGGCTGTCAGTGATAAACCAGGCACCAGGCTTCTGTTGTTGATAAGTGTTAATAAGCATAGATGGTAATGCTGGCCACGGTGTCAGTGGTGGCGGCTCCTAATTGAAAGCCTGGTGGAAGAGCTCTGTCTTGCAGGCCCTGCAGGACTGTAAAAGGCCCCACAGGGCCCTGCTCTCTTCCGGGAGCTCATTCCACCAGTGTGGAGCCACCACCAAGAAAGCTCTGGCCCTGATTGCAACCAGCCTGGCGTCCTTGGGACCTGGAAGGGCCAATCGGTTTTGTGACCCCGACCGAAGTGCTCTCTGGGGTATATATGGGGAAAGGCGGTCCCTCAGGTATGTCGGACCCTGGCCATAAAGGGCTTTTTATTATCTCTATTCCTGCCTTTCCCAGTGCTCAATGAGGCTGAACCCTGGGGCTAATCCTCCGAAGCAGTTCTCACCAATCTGCACCCAAAGCTGTGTAATATATGTTATTAGAACCAATCAAAGTAACATGAAGTGGAGTACAAACTTTTCAGTTCTCCAGAACTCATCATCAGGCTGGATGTTTTTAAAGGGGGGGGAGATGTATCAGGCCATGACCGATGGTTTGGGAGGGCTGTGGCTCAGTGGTAAAGCATCTGCTCGGCATGCAGAAGGTCCCATGTTCAATCCCCGGCATCTCTAGTTAAAAGAACCAGGCAGTAGATGATGTGAAAGATGCCTGTCTAGCCTGTCTGAGTAGGCAATACTGACCTAGATAGACCAAGGGTCTGATTCAGCATAAGGCAGCTTCATGTGTTCAGGTAATTTAGAAAAGTTACATGCTGCCTCTCCAGTGAACCTGCTCTGGACTTATGAGCGTCCTGTGCAAAAAGCCAAACACTTATTAAGATTCAAAATGGTGCTAATGTGTCACCTTTGAACTTCTTGGGATGAAGAAGCCTGTTAATCTTCTTCGTGGTCTCTGTGCACCACACCCATGGGATTATGCGCCTGCGCTGATCCGAATTGGAGGTATGCAAAGCTCACAAAGGGATTTTTCGTGCCTCCCTCCCAGGCACGCATGGGAACCCCACTGCGCATGCCCAAGGAGGTGGGGCGCGGACATCCCACCAGTTCTCTTCTGACCACCGTGCTGTTAACAGCTTGTTTTCTGCCGGTTGGTGAAGAAGCGAAAAACAATTTTTCCTCTCACGGGGGATTACCCAAATCGTTCATTTTTTCCTTTTTCTAACTTTATTTTATTCTTTACTAATAAAAAAAAAAGGAAGGACTTTTTCTGAGGTAAAGGGCGGAAAACCACTCCTCAGGTGGTTTCCCGCCCTCCCCGCCCCCCGCTCTGAGGTAAATTTTACTTCGCCTCATCCGAGAGCTTGCTTTTTCTTTTGGTGCCATTTTATTCTTTTACGACCGAAAAGTGTCAGCTGTGGCAGCAAACCTGCCCCCCATGACAGCCACACACTCTGCATTCTCTGCCTTGGAGAAGCCCATCACCCAGACGCTTGCCACCATTGCTCAAAGTTCTCGAATCAGACCCACAAAAACAGAGCTGCGAGGCTTCGAGTGGCACTTTGGGAGTCTGCACTGATTCCCCTGCCTGCTGGAGATATGTCTGCTGAGACTCCTTCCAACCAACCAATGACCCTCCTGGCATCGACCCCCCCCCTTCACCGTGCAAAGTTGACACTGGATGGGGGACTGTCTTCTAAGCGTTTGGCATCAAACGAGGCTTCTTCCGCCTCTATGCCGGCCAAGAAGAAGAAAAAAGAGAAACGCGAGAAAGCTAAGTCTTCTCTTACTGGCACTGTGCGTAAATCTCAGAATCTGAGCGAGGAGAAAGTGTAAATGGTCTCTGCTCTGCTTCAGCGGTCGCAACCTGACATCGAGGACCCTTCCATACCGGAGCTGCCTACGATTGAGTTATTTGACTTGCCCATTAGGCAACTGAACCCCCCAGTATCGGAGGTCTCCGTTGACACCAGACCGATCTCGGCCTCACCGTGGGAAGTTGAGGAGGTGGTCCTACATCAATCTTGTACAGATCGCTCTCCTTCGGCTGTTTCTTGGGCAAGCAATCTATCTCAGTCGGACTCTCAATATCGTTGATCCAGGTCCCCCAGACGCGAGGGACATCTATATCGATCAGAGAAGTGCCCAGAGTACCGTCATTCCAGACCCACGCTCTCATACTCGCCCAGAGGGGAATTGAGACCGCACTCCCCAACCTACTTCAGCCCACCTGTACCATGGGACCATCAGCAGCACATGCCTTATTGGTTCACCCCATATCCGATGTCGGCATCGATGCCATGGCTGATGTCTAGGCCACAGTCGGACTGGGACCATGGGTCACGTTGTTCATGCTCTCCCCAGTGTAAATCTAAGCCTTCTGCGTCTCTCTCCAAAGCTCCAGAGGAACCTCGTCACCCACCCTCTCCTCTCTGTTCCGCCCCTGCCTTACCACCAAAGGCCGCTCTGATACCGGATACCCCTGCAGCACCAATATCGCCTTCCAGATCCTCCGTCTATGATTCTGGCACCGTTGATTCGGAATGCCCCAAATCGCCTGAGGATCCTTCACCAAAGCCTACAGTGTCAGACAATCTGCCGATCTCTTCTTCGGAGGATCTTTCTTTGTACGGAGATTTGATCAAGAGGATGGCACACTCCCTGGGACTGTCGATAGTCCAACCCCAACCTTCGGTGTCGGACGCTGTCTTCGATGTCGTACAGATCGATATGTCCACATCGATCGCCCTCCCGATGTCGACCGTTCTTCTACAGGTGATGAAGGCTCCGTGGGATAAGCCATCTTCTGCTCCAGTGTCGGCCCCATTCCATCCCGCGACCAACGGACAGGCCGAGAGGATGGTCCTGACCACGAAGGAGGCCCTCCGCCGGATCACGGACACCGATTGGGAGTTCCGGCTGGCCCAATTCCTCCCGGTGCAGAGGACGACGCCCAACCCCGTCTCAGGCCAGAGCCCTGCCGAACTCCTGATGGGGCAGAGACCAGCGACGTTGCTGGATCGGCTGCACCCCGACCACACACCCAACATGAGGAATGGTCGAGGTAAGGGACGCTCCAAGGGGATTCTTTCCAGGGGACCCAGTCTACCTGAGGAACTATGCCACGGGGCCTGAATGGATAGCAGGTCGGGTAGTGGGAGTCACCTGGCCGGTCTCTTACAAGGTGTCCACAGAAGACGGTTGAGTACTGAACAAACACATCGACCAGCTGAGATGGCGCCAGGAAAGAGGACTCCCTGGACCAGCGGTAGGGGTGGCGAGCCCGCCGGAGGCGGGGGCAGAACTAGAATGTCCCCGCACTCACGACACCCAACTGCGGGACCCCACTCCAGGGGCAACTGAGGCAGCGCTTCCACAGCCGGTACCGCAGGCCACTGAGTCCCAGGAAGGCACCGCCCCGGCTGCCGGTACCCCGGAGCCGGTGCCAACACCTCGCCGCTCCCTGAGAGAGCGCCGGGCCCCTACGTATTTAAGAGACTACGTTACCCAGGTGGGGACGGACTATGTGGGGTGGGGTGTTGGGTCCTGGGAACCGCCACCAGGCAGTGGCCAGGCGTGCAGAGCTTAATTCCTAAAGAACAATGGAAGCTAGGCTCCTAAGGTCCAATAGGGGAAGCAATAGAAACCTTGGCGGGAGAGTCAAACCCCCCAATGGCATCCAGGGGAGTTTCCTTGGATATGTATATAGTTGGCCACTTGGCCGTTTGTCTTTGTAGTGTGAAGTACTGAGTAAACGCATGTTCCTTATGTCCTTGTCCAAGTCGTGATGTATTGAACCGAGTACTTTTCAAGTCCTTTACTCATTCAGAAGAAGTGTGATTGAGATAACAGACAGTGGTTTCAGGAAAAACAAATTCAAGCCTATGCAAAACATTTTTACACTGAAAATTGGGGTTTTCTTTCCCGGTAAAATTAGCCTGGGGAATTCAGCTTGTTGTTAGTGAGGCTTTGGGCACTGACTAGCTCGCAGCAGAATGATTGTTCTAATAAAACTACTTGCTCTGTTAGCCAAAAGTCTTGAGTGATTTGTCTCTCCCAAGCTGGGCAGCCGTGTTCATCTGAAGCAATAGAACAAAGAGTCCAGTGCCACCTTTAAGACCAACAAAGTTTTATTCAAGGTGTGAACTGCCGTGTGCAGGCACACGAAATTCCATTGCATTGTCTGACGAAGTGCGCGAAGCTCACACCTTGAATAAAATTTTGTTGGTCTTAAAGGGACCACTAGACTCAAACTTTGCTCTGTACTAGAAACAGAAAGGCTCCCCCTAATACAACCCTAAAACCACCCCTGCACAAAACCCTACGGGATAACCCTAAATCTGCGGTAACTTGACTGCAGAGGGGGAAAAAATTACAGGTCTTGTATGCTGGAGAAAGTGTGGCTCTTTCCCGGAATACAGAGGCTCCGCCCCTTACCGGCCCATTCACGCCTTTCTTGGTCGTTCTGTGGGCGTGGCAGCTCTTTCCTGGAGTGGGCGGGGCTCCTCTCATAATTTAGCCTGTCCCGCTGCCGCAGGTCCTCATTCCCAGCCATGGCGTCTGCGTCGCGGTGTTTGCTTTCGGGCGCGTTGCGCGGACTTTTGCTTTGCATGCTGATGTTGCTGCCCGTGTTTACGGCCGACCATAGGATGCTGGTTGGAGGATGGCGCGATCGCTCTGTCTCCGATCCGGACGTGCAGGATGCGGCTGCCGTCGCCGTCAATCACTACAACGAAGTCAACAATAATGTCTTCTACTGCCGGGCGCTGGCGATTTTAAAGGCGCAAAGTCAAGTATGTTTCCCTCCCACCTTTTAGATCGTTGTAAAGCGTCATAATGTTGGCTCCACTCCCCCAGAAGCTAAACCGTGTCAGCTGAAGAATCTCTTTTGACGTATGCCAGGTAGGTCAGTGGGGGAGGAGAGTCCTTTGTAGTCGCTCGGTGGGGAAGGAAACGCGCTCTGTGCTTGCTCAGAGGCGCTTTGGTCTCATTGCATGCAATCCGAAGGCATGAAAATGAGTGCTGAGCCGTAGCGCCGATGAAATGCTGGGTGGTAGGATGGGGGGGAAGGAAGTGTGTTTTGTGGGGAGTGTGTTTTGGTGTAGGGGGAGAGGGTAGGGGACTTGACTGTGTAGGGAAGAGCAAGTAGAATTGGGGGTGTTGAGAGGATGCTGTGAATGTCTGTAGGAGATGAGCTGTAAGAGATGATCTCAGGGAGGATGAGACATCTCAGCTGGGTTTAATTTTTTAAAAATCGAGGTGGTCTACCCTATGGGCTTTTTTTGGTGCTTTCCTAGGATAGGCCTACTTAATAGCGTTTGTTAAGATGTCTAGTGCTTTCAGAGTGTTTCTGGACCCTTGTCTCATAGTCCTTGCAACAGCCCTTTTAAGGTAGGCCGATATTGCTGTCTACATAATTCAGATGGCCTGAGGCCACCTAGTAAGTGGTGAGATTGTAACTAGCTACTTTGTGAGTTCAAACTATGCTGTTGTGCTGTTCGTTGCAGCTGTGGAGTGTTTGGAGTGAGTGAGCTGACCAGAGATGGAGGTGTTCTTTTTTTTTAAATTGTTTTTATTATTTTACTGTATAGTACTCACAAGAGATGGAGGTGTTCTTGAGAAATAATGGCCCAAGATGCGAATAACTGGGAGATAACAGCTTTGGCCTTGCCCTAGTGGTACCCATGGTGGGTGTTGATAAAGATGGGTTCCTACATAATGAAGGGTAGGTTCCAATTTGCTGAGCACTGATGCTAAGAGGAGGGGTAAGGTGCGCGTAGGTTTGATTTAGCAGTGTGGAGGGGTGATTTTAAGTGGGAAGGTGAGTTTTGGGGATACTCTCCTGAAGGGACAGAGGTGCTGAACTGCTTGGGGAGATGTCTAGGAGTGTGGCTACCATCTTGGATCCTGAGATATTCCGGAAAAAGGTGGATAAGATATAAATGGAAACCAGTGCTTAATTTCAGGAACAATTTGTGAAGTGTGTTGAGAGAGTTCAGAGCGCTTTGCTTAGGCTGGGATTGTCAACTCTTTATCCTCCCCTGCTCCTGTGCCTTAACAACTACTTGGCTAGTAGACATTAAAAGATGGGCATTAAAGGAGACTGGAGGAACAGAGTTTGGGTCACAGGTGCAAAGGATGGTTGTGGAAAAGAGGGGGATTCCTGAAGAATGCTGAAACTTTTCTGAAGTGGTGGGCTTGAGGTAAGTTCTGTTAATTCAACTGTGGTCACGGTGCTGAAGCTTGGTCCGGCAACAGAAGTGCGGATATGGTCAGGTAACAAACGGGTGCATAGCTGTGGTAAATTCATGGCTGGCAGCTGTGTTTTCTGATTGGAACTTAAGGACTGTTCCATGTGTCCACTCCGGTCATCTGCTTTGGTTGCCTCCGCTATCTCTGGCTGGACAAGTGGCAACTGGAGAAAGGGCTTTCTCAGTCATGGTGCTTATTTTTCTGTCCCCCTTGCTGCTCCCTCAGTGTCCCTCTTTACTACTTATCTGTATGTGTCTATGTGTGTGTTTTTTAAAATTGATTTTAAGTATTTGAAATGCCTTCACTTGAAGAAGGAGGGCAGGAAGATGTTTCTGTTGGCGGCAAAGGATAGGGCAGGAAGGTACCAGCTGGATATTAGCTTTTTTACAGTAAGAATCGTTCAACAGGGGAATCAGCCGCCTAGGGAGGTGGTAAGCTCCCCCTCACCGGCAGTCTTCAAGCAGCAGCTGGACAAACACTTGTCAGGGATGCTCTCTAGGCTGATCCTGCATTGAGCAGGGGGTTGGACTAGATGGCCTGCAATGGCCCCTTCCAGCTCTGTGATTCTATATACCTTTTAAAATCTGTTTTAATGTTTTGACTCTTCACTGCCTTAGGGACCCTGAACCTGGTGGATAGGTGGCATAAAACAGGGGAAGGCCAACAGTGTAATGCCCTGGTCTGAGGGCCTCCCTGACTGTTCCTGGAACCAGAAGGCTAAATTAGACATTCATACAGATTCTGCAAAGTTCTTCTTCTGTGTCTATTGAAAAGGGATGGGTGGGAAGTTTGAGGTATGGGTCAGAAACAAATCCCCAAGCTGAGGCTTGAGATTTCTTCTGATTACCCCAGAGGCAGTTAGACATCTATCTAGTAAGTTCCTGTTCCCCCTTTCTGCAAGGAGATGCAGGCAGTGTACATGGTTCCCTCTTCCTCATTTTATCCTCACAACCACCCAGAGACGTACGTGTGAATGAATGAGAGAATGGCCCAATATCACCTGACAAATTTCATTTCAGAGTAGGGATTTGAACCTGGGTCTTCCTAGGCTGCGGTAGCTCAAGTGGTTAAGAAAGCACTGGAGATGCCTATAAATGTAGCAGGTGGCCAAGAAGAAAAGGTTAGCTAAGCTGCCATGTTGTTGGGGGTGGGGTGGAGAACCAGCCCTAATTCCTGCCAAAAGGTGCTGTAGTGAAATAGAATGTGAGCAACCAACTAAACAGCAAGCTTCTTGACATCATGAAATACTTGACCATGATCAAAGGATAGGCCACCAACTGATAGTGTTAGACTAGTCAATTGAACATATATCCTTATGATATATTGAACATATATAACATATTGAATGCCTCTATGGGGAGGAAACATTTCAACAGATCCGAAAATTGGAAACCTCTGAGGATGCCAGTCACAGTTACTGGCGAAACGTCAGATTCTACAATGCCACACATCCCGGAAAATCTACAGCAACTCATATATCTTTGTGTTGAGTAAGGCAGAATGCAGGAGGAACAAATCTCACCGAAACATCTGTTAAAATCTTTTTGACTCTTCCAGCAGTAATTCAGTACTGGGCTCCCCGTAGTTAAGCGTGAATCCTAGAACAGGAAGGAAACAACTGGTTGTAGCTTGGTTGTGCGAATGGAAATATTTGTGTGTGGGGTTTATTGTGGAGGCAGTCGTCAGCTGTAAGAAGTCAGCATTCGTGGCAAAAACCAAGTCTCAATATGTATTCGCAGGCAATCCCTGTATGCTTCTCTGGTTCATTCCCCACCCTGTTGTATCCCCATCAGTCTACAATGTAGAAGCATCTTGGGGCCAGACGGTGGGTATTTCATACCTTGTGCCGCTCTGTCAAACGCCAAGTGCTATAAAAGGAAGCCCATTGAGAAATAATGTTGTTTTTCCAGGTGGTAGAAGGAATAAAGTACTATCTGAAGATGTTGCTGGTGACCACAGAGTGTGACAAACGAAGCAAACAAGGATCGGGGCACCTGGACCTGGGAGAATGTAGGGTGCCCCCAAGGAGAGAACAGCAGGTGAGTTTTGAAGGCCACAATCGGATGGGAACTGTCTAATCCAGGGCCGTGGGTCTGCTCTGTGACGCTTAGATAAGGCAGGACACCACATATATTATACACTGTTTGGAAAGCCCTTTGAATGCTGTGGCTCCCCCCCTTCCTTTTCCTCCATGCATTAGGGCCATGCCAAGTTTGTCATTTTCTGTCGATGCCAAAAATTCTTTGTTAGAGACCCTGAACTCCGGCAGATCTCAGGGTTTCTTGGATGGGACTAGAGACGCTAGCACAATTTTTAACTTCACTAACTTTGTGGGGTGGGTTTTTTTAATCAAATGCACTGTGATCTGGATTTATTATGGCTTTCTAACTGGTTTTGTATCTCCACTAGCCATGCAAGCTTGCCTGAGTTAATGCTCAGCAAAGGGCTGTTTATAATACCCACCTGTGCATTGGCTTCAGGGAGGCAAATGAGAAGGCCTGGGGGAATTTAATTGCTTATCTGATTTGTACCCTGCCTTTCTCCCCAGTGGGGGCTCAAAAGTGGCTTACCCCGTTCTCCTGTCCTCCATTTTATCCTCACAACAACCCTGTGAAGTAGGTTAGGTGGAGAGAGTGACTGGCCCAAGGTCATCCAGCAAGCTTCAATAGCACGAGTGGGGATTCAGACTCTGGTCTCCCAGATGCTAGTCCGGCACTCTTAACCACGACACCACACTGGCTCATTTTGGGATAGACCAGAGGTCGATTCGGGGGGGATCGTGGGGGATCGCAGTTCCCCCGGGTGAGGGGTGGGGGGGCGGGGCACATGACGAAGCCCCGCCCCCTGCTTCTGGCCACCCCACTTCCAGCCCTCATTCAGCCAGGAGGAGGCAGGAGAAGAGGGAGGGTAAGTTGCTTCCTCCCCACCTCTCCCCACCCCTGCCTGCCTGGGGCCAGGGAGGGCCTTGGCGGGGCTTCCTTGCACTCCCGCCAGCCTTGCAGGTCCACTGCCGAGCCCCTGATGTCAGGGGGTGTGGCATATGCTAATGAGTTATGCTAATGAGTTCCCCTAGCTCTTTTTCTACAAAACGACCCCTGGGATAGACACAGACAACCTTCCATCTTCAAGATGAAAGAGCAGTTTTCCAGTGCCACCCAATTAGATTTATGCACGATGGTTCTGAACCTGGCTTTCCCCATAGTCAAAACCACCTGACTGTGGAAGGTTATTTGTTTCCTGCCTAAAGCAAGAAGTATTCACCTATGGTAGCAGCTAAATAGCTATCAAGAAAGAAGATGGGGTAAACATTGTGTTCTTGGCGGGTGATGTTCACTCATCAGGTCCTTCCTGTTGTTAATGTTTAATCATCACAGTGGATTTTAAGCAGCATGATCTCTTGTCAAAACCCGTGCCCCGCTGGTTGCATCACTGCCTTGGGGCATGCCTCTGAATCATTAAAATGGGCCACAACACATAATGGTTCTGTGACCAGAAAGACTTTCCAGTTGGCCTTCCGTTTAGAAGTATGCCGGAACTGTGTGTACATCATAACAAAATTACAGTGGTTTTGCTCTCAGCTTCCCTAGACTGCCTCTTGCAAGGATGTAGACTGGTTTAATTTTTTAATAAGTTCTAATATTTATTGTAATGTCTTAGCCCTCTTTTCCTGAAACAGATTGTTCAAAGCAGTCGGCATACAAAATGATACCATAAAAATCGAATCATTAAACCTAGAAAGCTACCAAGAGATGCTTCCCTTTCCCTCCAAGAAAAAAAAACAAAGATGAGAGTTGCCTTAATTCGTATCAGTATCATCTTAAAGTCCGTGTTTTTCTACTGACAATCATGTACCCACCGTGTGACAGGAATCTTTAGAACTTGAAGCCTTCTGCTTAAGGAGGTTGAATATCAGTCCAAGTCTCTCTTGTAAACAGTGGGCATTGCCAAATGATGACCTTTTGCATAAGAAATGCCATACATTAATTAGAGAGCCATTTTGGTTTAGTGGTTAGAAGTACAGACTCTAATCTGCGAGAATCAGGTTTGATTCCCCACTCCTCCCCATGCAGCTGCTGGTGTGACCTTGGGTCAGTCATAAGTTCTTTCAGAGCTTTTCTCTTGAGCAGTTCTCGAGAGCTCTCCCAGCCCCACCTACCTCAGTGTGTCTGTTGTCAGGAAGGGAAAGGGATCGTAATCCGCTCTGAGACTGATTCAGGTAGTTAGGGTGAGGTATAAATCCAATCTCTTCTTCTGCTTCTTCTTCTACCTGTTGTCAGGAAGCTCCTAACAACAGCTCTCTACATGGTATAAAATGCCATCAAGTCATAGCTGACTTACAGCAACCCCATAGGTGTGTTCAAGGCAAGATACACTCAGAGGTGGTCTGCCATGGCCTGCTTCTGCGTAGCGACACTAGACTTCCTTGGTGGTCTCTCATCCAGTACGCGCCAGGGCTGACCCTGCTTAGCTTCTGAGACTGGGCTAGTCTGGGACATCCAGATCAGGGCTTCTACAGGGTACACAGTCAATTTGGTGCCCAGAGTTCAAGTGGCACCCCTACACCACTGATGGACATGGCGACACAGTCTGGTTCTCTTTCCCGAGCATGCCTGACGGGAATGAATGGGAACCTACAAAAAAGAATGGTGGTGCTCTTCTGGTGGGGCAGTCACAGAAGGACATTGCAGTTTAGGTTTCTCCTCTGGATCAGATCTGTCTGTCTCCCACTCTGCCTTCCTTGGTAGAGTTCTAGATCTTCAGCCTGAGGCAGCCTCTTTCTATCCTGGTAAGGTCAGTTCTGTAGAACAAAGGAATGCTCAAGAGTGTAGACATTCTTGGTTGATTTGAGACACCAGAAACAAGAGACGGGAGTGGAACAGACTTATTAGCAAAGCTTTGCAGGAAGTTCCAGAGCCCACCTAGTTCCTACCTGCAAGCAGAGGTCATTTCGGGGGGGATCGCGGGGGATCGCAGTTCCCCCTGGTGAGGTACGGGGGGCGGGGCACATGACGAAGCCCCGCCCCCTGCTTCCGGCTGCCCCGCTTCCGGCCCTCATTCAGCCAGGAGGAGGCAGGAGAAGATGGAGGGTAAGTTGCTTCTTCCCTGCCTCTCCCCACCCCTGCCTGAGTGGTGGGTTTAGATTTAGAGGAATTAGCTGTGTTAGTCTGTGGCTGCAAAATAATCCAAGAGTTCAAATAGCACCTTTAAGACTAACAAATAGCACCTTTAAGACTAACCTTTAAGATGAAGACTGAGTGGTGGCTTTGGCCTTATGACACACTTCCGGTGATGTCAGGGGTGTGTGGCCTTATGACACACTTCCGGTGATGTCAGGGGTGTGTGGCCTTATGACACACTTCCGGTGATGTCAGGGTGTGTGGCATATGCTAATGAGTTATGCTAATGAGTTCCCCTAGCTCTTTTTCTATGAAACAACCCCTGCCTGCAAGTACAGTGCTTGTTTTTTCTCTGCACTGGCTTGCTGTACCCTTGACAAGTGGCCGGTTGAATGTGTGAGCCCATTCCTTTTGATAAGAGTTGTGTTTCGACATGATTTCGGGATGCGTGGAGATTCCCTGTGTGGCATTTACCTCTGGGATTGCTCATTCATGCATGAAAGGTCACCCCTTGACGCTGCTGAAATCTGGCACCCTGGTTCCCCATTCAATTAAAGTCAGCACATCAGTCAGTAGGTTATTTTTAGATTGCCGCTAACAAAGAACCGGAGAGTGATTTCAACAAAAGTGATCAGCTTTATTGTAGGTACGAACAAGCGCTTGAAAGAAGTCATAATCAGAACAACTTAACATTGGGAGCTAGGCTCCTTTTAAACATTCCCGGGCTAACGTAGCCACACCTATTTACAATAAACAACCAATGAGGTTGTGCGGATAACGTCCAATGAAAGTCCTTCCCTTGCAGGGAATTGGTATAGTTCTGATTGGTCACTGTTGTGGAGCGACCAATAGCAAGTTGGCTCGGAGGAGCCTTCCTCTGGCTCGAGCTTATCATGGAGAGTAAATGTGGCGATTCATGTAAGCCTTTTCGAATACACCGCCAGTTATCAGCTTACCACTGGCTTGCTACCAGCAATCACATATTGCAAAATATACGTAGGAATGTCATTGGCTGCTTTTATTTAACAAGGGTTGCTTTGCCCCTGAGCCCAGCTGCCTGCTATGTAAGCATCTCAAACAGGAATGCAAGCTGTCCTCAATAAGGTTATTGTCTAGGAATGCCAGGGTGGCCAGGTCTACCCTGGCCACTGGCAAGGGCTAGGGGGGCTAGGGTTGCCAGATTCAGGTTGGGAACCTCCTGGAGATTTGGCTATGAATCCTAGAGAGGACAGGGACCTCAGTGGGGTACAGTGCCATAGAGCCCGCCCTTCCAAGCATCCATTTTCTCCAGAAGAACTGATCTCTGTAGTCTGGTGATAAACTGTAATTCCAGCTCATCTGGAGGTTTGGCATTCCTAAGGAATGCCCATCTTAAAAATTAGTCATTCACATTAGGTGTTCAAAAATGCTCTGCATCCTTTCACAGTAACTGAAATGTGTTTTGTAATTAGCAGAATCTTTTGAAGATTCAGTTTAAAATATTTTAAAGCAGTCCTGGAAAATCTGACATCATCAAGCCAAAGCCAAGTGATTGCCGTCTGGAACACGTCTGAGCCTACAGCTGAACGTAAAATCCCCGTCGGCTGCAAACGTGTGCGACTTATAAGATTTATATGTTGTCCTCCCTTACCCCCTATGAATCATTGCTAGTCCCTCATCAATGTGTAACTGTAAATCGCTCAGAGCCAGCAGCTCTGCAGGATTGAGCGATTAATAATAGAAAGATAGATATTATTATTATTATTATTATTGTTATTATTATTATTAGGCTTTCGTGATCCTGGTTTTTGAGGATCATGAAACTGCGGAGGAAATCGGGCGAAGCACCGAGTCAAATGCAGCCCCGGAACTTCAGGTGTGAAATTGACATGTTTGTGTCGAGGCAAACGTTGCTGTGCTGCGAGGCAGCTCTCGTGAGAAAT